ACCAAAGCCTCTCGGAAACGATGTTGGTCGGGAGATTCATGGTCAGGAAGGACCCGTTTGAGGCTTTGTGGTGGCGTTTGTGGCCGTCTTTCGGTGCTTGAAGTTGTTGCACTGTCTTGGATCTAGAGGCAATTATATTGACAGGATAGCACAACAGCGAGCAAAAATGACTTACCTCTGTGCCAAAAGTGGCAGGAACAAGCGGTCCAACAGTTGAACGCCGGGTGTGAAGATCATAAAAGTTAGTAAGCGAATTTACAGATCTTGAACTGGAACTGGAGAGTTCCTGTTTGTCCTCTGTTCCCAGAGCCTTGGCGTGCTTGAACTTCGAATGCGAGTCTTTTTTCTTGCTCGAGCGAGTTCGGCTCATCTTGCGGCGGGAAACTCGATATTCACTCGCGTTCAAAACCTGTGTGTCATCAGTCAACGTGCAGTGGAGCAATAAAAAGATAGCAGACTTCATCAGATCTGTCCGATTTTTCCCCAAGGGTGTTCTCGATGATGAGGTCGCTTTCTTGTTACAATTGCTGGTAATTGTGACAATCAACCCAAAGACAAAGTCGAAAAGAGAAGTGAATTCGAAGACTGGAGAATACAACCAGGTAGCTACAGTATTTATACCCAAATCCAGTCTGAGTCATATCTACAACTAATGAGTCATAAGACTATGTACCACATGGAACGCTGGTCATGGGTTGTAGTAGAACCTTCCGGAGCATATGTCGCGCAGCCTCGAATCGATAGAGATAACCCCTGGAACCCCTAGCCCGGACCGTCTGATGCCGTGATAAGATAAGTCGTGCCAAGATAAGATAAGATCGTCGATGATAAGATGAAAAAGTGGTCGAACTATGACATTACCCCCTCTCTAGGGTCGATGTCCTCATCGACTAGGCCAATGGGCGTGAAGACGTTCTCGTAGGGGTCGAAGAGTTGTCGCTGGGGATATGGAAGGCACTCGTCTTTGGGTTTGTAGCAATGGATAAGATAATCCCAATGTCCGGCTTCGAGCGTTGGCAGGAGGCGAATGCGTGTGTCTGGGTTGGATTGTTTCCTCTGCCAGTCTCTCAGGACGTCCTCCGCGTGGGTAAGGTGACGTGATGGTTCCCAGGTGTTCTCGCTGTGCGGCCATCCCTTCCATTTGACCAAGTACTGTTTTCCTCGGCCGACTTTTCGTTCTTTCACGATTTCTTCGACTTCCCACTCCTCTGCTCCTCCGATCATCTTAGCTACGGGTCTCTTCTCTCGGCGATGGGGGGGTGGTTCATGATAAGGTGTCAATAGTGACTCGTTGAACACCGGGTGTCTTTGGTCCGTGTCCGGCAAATCCAGCTTCCATGCGGCCGCTCCAACCTTCTCCAGTATCTCGTATGGTCCCAATCTCTTGTCGCTCATCTTCTTTGATGGTCTATCCGTCTCGATATTGTCCCCTTCTATGTACACCTTCATCCCAACCTTCAACTCCGGAACTTCTTTTCTTTGTTTATCGTAGTATTTTTTCATTTTTTCTTTTGCTTTTTCCAATGCTGCTTTTGCTTCGTCTTGTATTTCTTTGATTCTTTTTACAAATTCCTCCGCCGACTTGTTCCTTGATTCCATCCTTTGCTCCACTCCCTTCCATGGGTGATATCCGTGATTTGCATAGAATGGCGACATTTTGGTAGACGTGTTCATTTTGTCATTGTATGCGAACTCCGCCATTCCCAGCCACTCCGACCAATCCGTCTGATGGTAGTTGACGTAAATGCGGAGATAGTGTTCGATCTCCTGATTCATGCGTTCGGTTTGTCCATCCGTGATCGGGTGATATGCGGTCCCCGGGTTCATTTCCACGCCCAACATCCGATTCGTCTCCTTCATGAAGCCCTTGATGTAACGCGAGTCCCTGTCGGTGATGATCTTGCGAGGGATCCCATGGTAGCGGAAGACTCGGTCCCTGGTTAACCGTGCGACTCCTTCACTGCTGATGTCAGTACTAATTGGTTCGACATGGATCATTTTGGTGAAGGTGTCACACCACACATGGATTGCGTCATACCCATTACTGACCGGCAAGGGTCCGATTTGATCCATTGAAATGATTTCCCACGGCGCATTTGGAACTGCATGCGGGTGTAGAGTCCCTGTCCTCGCTCTCCTGGTCTTGGTCCATTGGCACGCCTCGCACGTCTGGATGTATTTCCGAATTTGGTTTCCCATCCTGGGCCACCAGTAGTTCCTTTCCACCATCTCCTGCGTTTGGTTGATTCCAGCGTGTCCGGCCAAGGGTGTGTCATGGTGTAGACCGATGATCTTGTCTCGCAGTTCCTCGTCCCTTGGTACATAGAGCTTCCCATGGTACGTGATAAGCCCCTCTTCCTTCTTCCATCCGACGAGTGACTTCTCCAAGGCCGCCTTGACGCTTCCATCAATTGATTGAATGGCCTTGATTTCATCGATTAGCTGCTGATCCTGTCCCTCGAATGTGACTTCTTGTGATCGGAAGAACTCGGGCTTCAGTAGCGTGACGTCCTTGTTGTCATTCTTGCCCTGATCGTGATCCGCTCGTCGAGACAGGAGATCCGCCTTGCGGTTGAGTGCGCCGGGTTGGTGTCGTAAGGTGAAATCAAACTCCGCCAGCTCCGTGATCCATCGTGCTTGTCGTCGATTGAGCTTCTGCGGCTTTCGGAAGTACTTGAGATTCTGATGATCAGTGAAGATCTCGAATGTTTCCGTGGCTCCCAGGAGCAGCTGCCTCCATTCATCGAGTGATAACATGATCGCGAGCATTTCCTTGTCGTAGATCTCGTAATTTCGCTCGGTTTCGGTCAATGCGTGTGAAATAAATGCGATTGGGCGCCAAATGCCGTCTTGGTTTTGGCTCAAAACTGCTCCTGTTGCCCCTTCCGAAGCATCGGCTTCCAGACGATATTGGCCAGTGTCATTTGGCAGTGCTAGGACCGCATCCTCTGCAATTCTCTTCTTCAACCCATCAAATGCTGCACGCTCATCTGCACCCCATGCCCATCCTGCCTTCCCTGTCAACCGTGTCAATGGTTTGGCAATCTCCGCATATCCCCGAACAAAGCGTCGATAGAAGTTGGTGAACCCTAGGAAGGCTTGTACTTGTTTGACGCTCTTTGGTTCTGGCCATTCCATCACACCCTTGATCTTGACTGGGTCCATCCGCATCGAATTGTGTCCAATAATCACACCCAAATATTCGATTTCCGTGCGTTCGAACTTGCACTTTTCGGGTTTCAGGTACAGCTTGTGTTTTTGGAGCAGTTTGAGTACTCGTTTCGTGATCCGCCGATGTTCGTTCAAGTTCTCTGTGAAGATCAGTATATCATCAAGATAGACTACCACGTGGCCCTCGTTGATCAGTTCTCGGAGTATGTCGTTCATCATGTTTTGGAAGGTTGCCGGGGAATTCGTGAGGCCAAAGAACATGACCAAGGGCTCATACAGCCCACGGTTTGTGCGGAACGCAGCCTTCCACTCGTTGCCCTCTTTGATCCGTACGTTGTTGTATCCCCACCGGATGTCAAGCTTTGTGAAGAACTTGGCGCCGCATAGATTATGGACCAGTTCGGAGATCAGCGGCAGCGGGTATCGATTTCGGATCGTCATCTTGTTCAACTTCCGATAATCTTGGACGGGACGTAGCGAGCCATCCTTTTTCTTGACAAAGAAGAATGCTGACGCCATGGGTGATTTTGATGGCCTGATCCGTCCACTGGCCAGGTTCTCTTGCAAGAACTTGTCGAGCTTGACCTGCTTGTTCCACGATAAGGGGTACACCTTGCAGTCCACCGCTTTGGAGCCAGGTTTGAGTTCAATCGCATGATCCCATGCTCGTCGATCCGGTAGCGAGTCAAATGATTCCTTGGCAAATACTTTGACGAATTCCCGATATTGATCCGGAATCTTCCCTTCGGTCATTCTCTCCTTCTCCTTTTCCGCTTCTTCTGCAAATTTCTGTGCCGGCGTTTCCTTCAGCCGTAAATCCACTTCCTTCCCAAAGTCGACCAACAGGATCGATTCTCCCTCCTCCAGATCCGGTTCATCCGCGTCCAGGTCAATTGCGTCCATGTCGATCATTGCTTGGTGCTCCTCGTGACCCCTCATGTGACACCGCTCTGGGCATCGGCTGAATCTCATCGTCTGCTCCTGCCAATCCACCTCGGGGTTGTGTTCCATCAGCCAATCAAGACCGATGAAGATCTGGGCTTTCCCTAAGCATGTCAGAAGGAACGTGCGTGTCTCCTCATGAGGACCGATTCTCATCCTTAGGTCGACGTAATGTGTGATCCGACCGCTGATGTTCTCGGTGTTGTCGGCGTTACGAGCCACAATGGGTTGGGGAAGTTCTTGGATATCCAGCTTTTCTGCCCGCGCGTAGTCGGTATCAATGCAGCAGGTGCTACAGCCACTGTCAAGTAGCGCCTTGACTCCGCGCGTCTTTCCTGAGTCCAGGCCCGTGATCTGTACATACACGTCCATCGAATGTCTCTTTCTTTCGGCCTGGTAGTTGCGCAGTTCCTGCGCCAGTCTGCTGGGTTGCGGGCCCTTCTGTCTCTCGGCTGCCCATTTCCTTTGAACGGCATCTGGCACCCTCGTGCGTTTGGGTGCTTCTGGAACCCTGATTTCGGCAGATTCCTTGAGCGCTTCCTCCTTTTTCAAGGATTGAGCCTCCGGAGCGATGCTCCCCTTTTCGGTCTTTGTTGACGTGGTTTCTTCTCCACGAGCCATAAATACGTAGGAGTCCAAAAATAATTTGTCCGCAGCCGCTATCTTCTGATCCTTTTTATCTTGTAAATATTTTCTATTTAAAGCGATCTTTTGTTTACGTTCCTTTTCCATTTCGGCAACAAGAAAATCGTGAATATTTGTACGTAGTGAGTCGGGGAGCGTGTATGTATGATGAGGCATATTGTTCGTATCTTTAATTGAGACAAGTACAGAAAAACGTCCATAGTCCGGGCGCTCCACCTCCTTGGCTAGAGGAGTGAAGCGCTTCAAAAACCCTTCTTGCGCAGCTTCTCAGCGATCTCCTTGAGGAACTCGTTGTCCTTGTCCCCGTTCTCGATCTCTTCCAGCATCGTGGCCCGATTAAAGAATGTGCGCTTCTTCCTTGGCTCCGGACAGTTCCGCGCAATGTGCCCGGGCTGTTGACAGTTGTAGCAGATGATATTGCGGCTACGGGTGTGGGTGCGATCGATTTCCATCGGAACTGGTTCGTTGGCAGCGGGTCGGGCCGGAGCGGGTGCAGGCGTTGTTGGAGCAGCCTGAGGGCGGAATTGGGGAGGTGGTCGTTGCGGGGGGTGCCCGTACGATGCCTTGCGCAGCTGGTCACGAAGAGCGTTTGCCTCAATGTTGACACACCAGTCCTTGAAGGCGCCATACACCTTGGGCAGGGGGACACCAGTGTTATAGAGGCGACTGGCGATCTCGCTACTGAGCCCGCGCTCGAGGAACTCGATGAGGATATTATCTTGATCCCCCTTCTTATACTCGCCCTTGTTGTCGGTGGCGGTGTCCACATTGTACCCCGCATCCAAAGCCAGCATCTCGAAGTCGGAGATATAATCCGCAAAGGATCGTTTGTTCTGGCGCAGGGCCATGAGTCGAGCGGCGGCGACTTGCTCCGCGTTAGAATCCCCGAAGGCCCTCTGAAGCTCCTCCAAGAAGGTTGCCGAGGTGACCCCAGCCTTTATCCCATTAAGGCTCTCAAAGTTGCGCTGTTTCCAGTTCATTGCCCATCTTGAGGCGGCGCAGCTTGTGCCAGCCTCGTTGCGGAGGTAGGAGAGGATGAACAGGATTTTCGTCTCATCCTGCGAGAATTCCGACCGGTATGCACCAATGTAGGTGGTGCATGAGTCCACAAAGCCCATGTACTTGGTTTTGTCCCCATCGAAGTAGGGGGGGTTGGCGGCGAGGGTGATGCGGTGATGACCTGACATGGTAGGAGCAGGTGCGGTAGGTGGGGGCGAGGGTGGTTGTTCGGAGGGCAATTCGTCGAGGTCAGGAATCTCGTCTTCAGGCGCCGGGAGGGCGAGTAAGGGATCGAAGGGCTCAGGTTGGTTTTGATGCGCCAGATCGGGCGACGATGGTATGAGGGGGGGAGGAGACGGACTCCCAGATGACGATGGGAATCGGTACAAAATGGTGAATTTGTGTGCTGTACAAGCACTCGAGGATGGGTTCTTTTGCTAGCAAAAAGATCCCGGGCCTAGCTCTTCACGTGCCCGATGATCCCAAGGTGTGTTTTCCCGAAGGTCTCCGCAGCACTCCTTGTAGCTACCGTAAGGCTTGGGTTGGGCTCAACGTTACCCGTGGCCTGGTGCTGTTTGCTCGATATGAACCCTTCACTGCGATAGTGGAGGACGACTAGATGATTTGGTAGAAGGGTAAGTTGGTTGATAAGGGTTAAGAGGATATAGCGGGCGTAGCGGTGCAGGGAGCAGGGTAGGAGGTAGGAGGTACGAGGGTATGAGGGGAGTCTTCGAATTATGTGACAATCAACCCAAAAACAAAGTTGAAAAGAGAAGTGAATTCGAAGACTGGAGAATACAACCAGGTAGCTACAGTATTTATACCCAAATCCAGTCTGAGTCATATCTACAACTAATGAGTCATAAGACTATGTACCGCATGGAACGCTGGTCATGGGTTGTAGTAGAACCTTCCGGAGCATATGTCGCGCAGCCTTGAATCGATAGAGATAGCCCCTGGAACCCCTAGCCCGGACCGTCTGACGCCGTGATCCGTGATAAGATAAGTCGTGCCAAGATAAGATAAGATCGTTGATGATAAGATGAAAAAGTGGTCGAACTATGACAGTAATCCATTTTAGCTTGGTGCAGACAGATCAGGAAAGCGCACTCGCCTTATTGAGCCAAGTCTCATAATGCTCGTATTCATCATACGGGATAACAAGTGCGATGAGAGGCGCCTTCCGGGGCTTGGTAAAGTTCAGGGATAGCTCCTTCCCCTTTGCTCTCGACGACTTGTAGCAGAGATGCTCCAATACACGAGATTCAGCAGGCTCCTGTTGGAGGTTTACCCACGACATATCTCGAACGATCAGTCTGGATTGATCAAATGCGAATGGTGCAGCCACTTTGATGAGCAAGGGTAAGATCATCGAAATCGTCAATTCAACAAGTGTGCTGGCAGTCACTGAAGCTGGTACGAGGAGGCCTTTGCTAATGAGCTTAGAAGTATATCAGTCAGGAAAGAGTCGAAGTGGCAGAGAAATAACAGACCTTGAACTGTTCTCCGTCGTTCTTTCCAGGAACTTCATACCGAGCTTGAACAAGGATGTTGATCGTGTTGAGGTTGACACCGGATGCTGCACTCCGGCCCATGAGAGCCCTGAACTGATGGTAGCTGTTGTGATTTCCAGAGTAGCCCTGCATGTTCGCTGCTGAATTGAGCGAGAGAGACGACGAGGAACTTCGAAAGCTCTGTGCACCTGATCAGTTTTGGTGAGCGCCATCTCAATCTGCAAAAATTAAATATCATCACCTCCACTGGGAATGTAATTCGGTGGTCCCATGGATGCCAGAGTGGCGGCTCCGCGTTGAGGAACAGCAACTACACGTTGCTGGTCATGTGAAACATCTGCTTAACTGAATGAGAATGTGCAGCATCCGAGTACTAGGTAAGTCACAGCGAGTGAGCTTACCTCCAGTTCAAGCATGGATGTTCTGTTGACGTATGGCTGCAGCTTGCTGGTTGAGATCAGGTGTCGAAGCCGCACGACCTAGTTCTAAGTTAGTTGTAATATATTGAAGAACATGCGGTGAACAGACGGGTCATAGTGCTTGATTTGCAGATGTAGTACTCAAAGCAAGGTCGACACACTTTTCGGCTCCCAAGAGCCGAATTATGGTTCCCAATGATGTCAGTCGCAACACCCAAGCAGCCGTTCTGTTGGCCACGTTTGCTCTCGCAAGGGTGCGGAGTCGGACTTTCGTCAGTGAAGAGGGCAAGAGGGAAATCTGGTGGGGCCATCTGAAAGATACAGTGTTCAAATGCCATTAGGTAGGAATTAAACAACTTTTATACTTTAGATGCCTCAAGTTGAGAGGCCCGTCGAGGAGCGGTCTGGACAAGTACCGACCTATGATGTAGTTGATTGCCGCGACACGTTCAATCTAGAAACAGACTCCAGTCTATTCTGGAGTGTGTCCACTCGGTAAGCTGGTCCTTTCCTCTTCGAGAACGACCTTGGTTCACTGCCCAAAGTTTATTTAATTAAATCTAGCTCCCTCTGTGGGACAACAAGAGGCCGGAGACGAGTATATAAACACCCAGTACTAACTTGAACGACATCACTAATTGACCTAACACAAGATGGGTAGAAACCAACACAAACCAAACCATGTGTCAATTATCAGCGCTAATGAGCTTCAATTAATGAACAATTCCAGCTCCACCCAACGAATTGAAGCCCCACATTCAACTATATTGGAACATGCGTATGACTGACCAACAGATTCTCGACCAACTCCATGCATGCCACATTGACCACTCTCAACATGGACTCAAGTGCGTCTTCATTCCATCAGAAAGTGTGATGCTGAATGTTGTCACAGACTCACCGGGTTTCGAAAAATCCGCAAGGCCTTGGGCTTCATGGGTACCCGTCAGCAAGGGCATTCCTATGAGTCAATCAAGGATGCAATTATAGATCTCCGACGCTCCTACCCAAATGCTGGCGGCCGGGATATGAAGGATCTTTTATTTTTTGAGAAGGATGGGATGAAGGTTCCACGGTACGCATGCTAAATTTTGATTCCTCCTTCCTGATCTGACATCTGGTGTTCTAGTCACCTTATCATGGATTTTTTTGCGGTTTATGAGCCTGATCTGGTCCGACGGCGACGCAAAAATTGCCTGCGCCGCAAGAAATTTTGGGCAGCAGGATCAAACGACATCTGGGCCGTTGATCAGCACAACAAGTGGAAGAAATTTGGCTTAGCTTTACACACAGGAATCGACCCCTTTATTGGATACAATCACTGGACTCGCATTTGGTGGAACAATAACAACCCTCGGTTGATTTTGAGTTACTACCTTAGCATTGTTGAGGAACTGGGATGTCGGTCAGTCTCTTTCCATACTTGAGATACACTTACACGTCTCCAGTCATGCCACTTGTTTCACAGAGCGATCCCAGCACCGAGAACACAGGATTGGCCAACGGCCATACAATGCTGCGCCACCTCCATGATCCCGGTCTGTGCGGAACATTACAACACCGATGGATGCGCCAGAAGAAGAACGTGATGCCTGAGATCTCGTGGAGTCAACTTCGTCGACGTTGGACTCCTGGGTACGAGAATCTGCTGGATCTAGGCGTTGAGAATGGCTGGTACGATCCCAAGATCCTGCTGGAAGCGTATGGTACAGTCTCTTGGTAGATTGGAATGCTTACATTCCGTTAGGCTGGTATTCCGATGGGTCTTTATACCGTGGCTGCAGAGCGAGCTTGATGCCTGTCGGCATCGGATCAACAACACCGCAAAACGTGTCGACCACAACAAGATTTTACCTCACGGAATCCCAGCGCACATGCTGGCGCACCCAGAGGAATATGCCGCACTTGATTTCAAGGTAAGCTCGTAGCAGCACCAGATCACAGACACCCTGACCTGAAATTAGGTTCGAGTCAGCAAGGAAAACATCGAGACCGTCCCTAATATGTACGCACCACGGGATCATCCCATCTTCGAGCTTGTCCCTCGAGAATTTGATCAGGTCGCAACTGAGCTGTACGTCAAGATGGGACAGCCCTTGGTGACACGAGACAGCTGCTGGGATATTGGAGTAGGGGTCACGTGCCCCGGATCAGTCCATAGTTCACACGAGGATGTTCGTTGACAGGGAGAGGATTCCTTCTGCTTCCATCACGACGACCGGCCACTCCATCTGGTGACAAGAGCACGATTCAACGCACACAGCACGCATAACAGTAGACGACGTTACCGTGGCCGACCGCAGCAGACGCAGTAGCAACCGAGAGCTGCACCTGAGAGACGAAAAAGGGCGCTTCAGAAGAACCCTGGAGACAACGGACGTGCCCGAGCATACGAGCAGACCGAGCACACCCGAGAACACGCTACGTGGCAGCGGTTCTACCACACCATTTGAGCTAATCTCTCGCTCCAACACACCCGCGCTCGACCCGAACGTTCTACCAACATTTTCTACACCCGCGGTCACCACTGGACCCGCTGCACCTGCCACTCCCCCGGTTGTCACTGCCCTCACTCAGCCTACACGACACATCCCCAAACCGAAAAACACCACGGCACGCATGACCGACGCCGAAAAAACCCGAATGTACTCGGGCGAAGCAGGGGCTGATGACGTCTCAGCCAAGGACTTCGCAAGGGTCTTCGCAAACCGGATACTTGGTCTCGGATTGGCCGAACCAGAGAAACTGGAAGCTTTCGGCGACTCCCTTCTTGCGGGCAAAGCCGCTGACATCTGGTGGGAGGCGGCGCAGGCCAGCGCTACCCCCTTCACAACGTGGTCGGCCGCGCGCACCGCGTTCGTGCAGGAGTTTGACGTCCCACAAGCAGCCGAGAAGACTTCCCAGGAATGGGAGAAGGAGCTCGCAGCGATGCGCATTGGGCTCGATGAGCTAGGCACCAAGATCGCTCTCGGCGGTGTCAACACCCATGCACACATAGCCTTCGCGCGCAAACTGATGCGCGCCGCAAAGAAAGCCGGAGTCGACAAGTCAAGCAGCAACATCTGGGCGGTACGCAACCACTTCCCTGACTCGCTCAAGGACAAAACGCCCCCAGCACCAAAGGACTGGACCGCATTCACGGAGGCAATCGAGAAGGTTGACGTCACCCAGCTCATTGAGGCCGCGGAGAAGGAGCGCCGTATGGTCAAAGCCGAAGCCAGAACCCAGAAGGTCGAAGCAGAACTGGCCGTTCTGCGGGCGCACGGACTGAGGGTGCCGCTGCCGGCCATCCCTGCATCCCCCACCGCCCACATCCGCACTCAGCTGGGCCGCACCAACATCTCGTCGACGCACATCCCGGCTCCCGCGTTTACCTCATCACCCGAGATTCTGGGCCCGGAAGCCAAGGCCAACCTCATCCGCGTGGTAGAGCGGATGCGATCTGCCGCCCCGCTGCTTTTGACCTCCGCCACAGATGTAGCCCGGTATAACACGCTGTTCCAGCGTTGGAAAGAGACGAGTTCGGCACGTCCCGTGGAGGAGGTTGGAGTCCCGCTGTCGCCGGGCACGGTCTGGCCTGGCAGCGGTGAATGCTGGAACTGCGGCAAAGTCACTACACCGCGCCACAACGCCGCGGATTGTGACGGCGCCAAAATTCCTCTCCCCGAACGGCGCTTCCGCCGCATCTGCTCAAAAAACCTTCCTTGCACCGTGCCGGTTGCTGTCAACGCTGTTTTGGGAAGCTGGATGGACGACGATGACGAGCAGGGTTTTCCGGGGGAGTCACTGTGAGTGCCCAAGCAGTGACTCCGCGCCCAGGGCAAGAGTCTAGCCCCGGTGCCTGTAACATAGATGGTTCGCATGTCATTCGCAACAATGTGGAATACGAAGTGCTTGAGCTCTATGCTGTGGACACCGGAAGATCACCGCCATTCATGCATCCAATCACGGTGGTAGATAGTTCAGGAGATGGGACGCGTGTGAACGCGCTATTCGATGGTGGTGCATCGGTTAGCGCCATGGACGTGTCGGTGTGGAACAGGCTGAAGGAGAAGCTGGGAGGTGGAGTGCCATCCAAGCAGGCGCTGAGGATGGCGGACGGATCGATCGCATGGCCGGTGGCGCGCTGGGACGGTGATGTCTGTGTGGGTGGCACGACGGTGGCCGTTCAACTGGAGGTCTTTGACAGCAAAGGCGGCTGGGACTTCCTGTTTGGGAAGCCATCTCTTGCTGCCGCGCACGCAGTACAGGACTTCGCCGCTGATGTGGTGAAGCTCCCGGGTGCATACGGTGAGACCGAGATCCTGCTGCATAACCACAGCGGCAGGAAGAGATCCTCCAGAACTACGGGACTAGGTGTGCCCTTCCAGGGGGTCCTGTCTTCATTCCCGACGACCCCCTCGAGGGGAGCACAAATCACTGCTGCGATGGCAACTCCAATGACGGACCACGTTCCTGAGTGGACATGGCTGGATGAGCAAGGCAAGGAAGAGGTGGCTGGAATATTCCAGGGTATGGACGCGCGAGCAAACTCGACAGGGGGAAGTAGCGCACCCCCTTCGAGGGAAGTACTGGATGACAAACCAGGAATCGTTGCGTCGGTCACTGACGCCATACCAGGCAACTTCATGGACATTGCTAGCCCGGAGGCACTACCGGACGTACCTAACACATCAATATTCACGCGAGCCACCAATCCATTCAAACCAGAGCGGGTTGCGGCAATTCTGAAGCTGGTCAAGACTGGACCAGATCTGTCAGACGAACAACGGATGCAAGCTCAAGACTTCATCGCCAGCTATGCCGACATCTTCGCACTCTCAGTATCAGAGGTGTTCCCGGTGGAGGGCGCAACTTACGCACCAAAGATCCCGCCTGACCACAAGTTCAGCACGAAGGTCCACCAGAAACCGATGACACCACCACAGGAGGCGTACCTACAGGCGCAAACACAAAAGTTGGTCGAGGCCGGGGTTATCCGCCCAATTCATCCCCGGGACGTAAAGTGCGTATCACCTATCAAGCTGGCACAGAAGGAGCACGACGGTGCTGCCTTGTCGCACGAGGAGTTGAAGCGTGAGCTCAACGTTGCATGCGAGCAAGCAGGGTTACCTTTACCCTACGAGACAGAGGTGGACTTGGGAACCCGCGGCAACTTGCGGCCCGAGCGGCCACAAGAGCGGAAGTGGAGGATCTGCCAGAACTTTCACGAGCTGAAGGCTCTACTGAAGGTGGTCCCTGTGCCGCAAGGTGACATTCGGGACAAGCAGAGACGCCTGGCTGGACACCGGTATGTGTCGGTGTTCGATTTCGCCTCAGGGTTCTTTGCCCTACGTGTCGAGGAGAACGCACAGCCATATCTTGTGATGTTCGTACCAGGCATGGGATATTTTGCTTACATGCGGATGCCATTCGGGCTGACAGACGCTCCCACGGAGTTCGGTGCCATGTGTGCGGACAAGCTCAGCGACCTGCTGGTACGGGTCATGGAGTTGTTTGTGGACGACGGCGGATCTGCGGCAGATACGTTTGAGGAGATGATGGACAAGCTGCGGTTGGTCTTTGACCGGGTCCGTTTGGAGGGTCTGTCGCTGTTGGCGGCGAAGACGCGGCTTTTCATGACGGAAGCGGTGTTTGCGGGGGCAATGGTCGGCCCTCAAGGGGTTACACCAGATCCCACTAAGCTTACAGCGGTGGTGGGATGGAAGACACTGGAAAACGCAACCAACCTCGCGGCGTTTTTGGGGCTGACCAGATACTTCCGGGATATCATCCAGAACTATGCCAGAGAGGAAGCACCACTTCGGAACCTCCTCAAGTCCGTGCCGATGCCGCCCAGCCCCAGTCGTCAAGTCTACCGGACGGTCATGAAGAATTTCGACTTGCAACCGCTGTGGACCCCAGGACACACCCGGTGCTTCCTCCGGCTCAAGCAACTCCTCCTTTCCGCGCCAGTGCTTCGAGCCCCGCTATACGACACCGTCCACAAACACCCTTTCATCATCACCACCGATGGCAGCAAGGACGCTTTTGCCGGTGTTCTCTCACAGAAAATGGAGTCGACAACATCAGATGGGCAAGTGGTGGTCCGACGGCATCCCATTGCATTTGCGTCCAAGCGGACATCAGTGGCTGAGGAGCGGTATCAGCCGCATCTATTGGAGTTTGCCGCACTAAAATTCGCCCTAGACAAGTTCTCCAATATCGTATGGGGCCAGCCGATCTGGTTGGAGACGGACTGCCAAGCGCTGCGCGATATCCTCAACAACGAGAAGCTCAATGCAACACACACTCGATGGCTGAACAGACTCCTGGGCTACAACATTGTCGGTGCGGAACACATCAAAGGGTCGACAAATGCCATGGCGGATGCGCTGAGCCGGGCTGCGGAGGGGACACCGAAAACCCCAGGCGATGGGAGCGAGTCAAGCGTCTCCCCAGACTGGGAGGCTCGGACCGGTCTAACCAACGACTTGTTTTCAATCAATGATCGCAGGACCGAGGAGCTCGTCTGTGAGGTAGTCCGGGTACCCGAGGGCACCATGAAACTCCGGGAACGCTTCAAGGACGAGCCGATGTATCAGGAGGTTGTGGATGCGCTGACGGAAATGGATCTGGGATCCAGCCTGGCTGACCGAAAGCGAGCCCGGCACCGAGCATCGCAGTACTTCATTGAGGAGGGTCGATTGTGGCGCGTAGGAGGTGGCACGGTGGTTAGGGGACGCTCGCGGCGCGAATGCCTTACCCGTGAGGAAGCTCGCCAGAAGGCAGTAGACGTGCACGCAAAAGGGGGACACTTTCACCGCGATGCTGTCAAGCTTGCACTGATGGACAAATACCATAGCCCGGGCTTGGACGACTCCATCATGAGAGCCATCGCGGACTGCGCCAAGTGCAAAGGATTTGGTCCTGCAAATCTGCATGCGCTGATGAACCCCATTACACGTCGACAACCCTTCGAGCTTATTGTGGGCGACTACCTTTCGATGCCGGACGGCAAAGGCGGCTTCAAGACCATCGGCCTGTTCCTCGATGTGTTCTCACAATTTGTTTGGGGGTTCAAGCTCAAAGAATCCGGTTCTGCTAAATCTACCACAGCTGCACTCAAACACATATTCAGCAAATTCCACAGCGCGGAGGTCTTCATGTCCGACAATGGCTCTCACTTCGCCAACAAGGACGTGGAGGCATTATGCGAACGCCGACGGGTCCGGTTCCACAAAGTCGCTGCATATTCCCCGTGGATTAACGGGCTGGTCGAGGGAGCGAATAGGATACTGCTGTACATTCTGGCGAGGCTCTGCGCACCGGAGGTTGGTGAGGACACGTGGAAATCCACGAAAAAGGACGACTTACCACGACTCTGGCCGGACCATTTCGACACCGCCATCGAGACGATGAACGACCGACTACTGCCGGCGGTGAAGTTCTCGCCCCGGGAGCTGCTTTTTGGACTCATGACACCGACACCGGACGCAGGGCAACACCCGGACGTCAGTTCACGACCACTGACAAGCGACATGGTGTTGCACATGGAATACGCGGAACAGCTCCGACTGGACGGATACGCGGAGCGCGTCAAGTACGCTATGGGTCGCAAGGCGGCCTTTGACAGGAAGGTGATGAAGTCGAGGGCAGGGGTCGTGGCCTTCGAGATTGGCGACCTAGTCCAGGTGTTTCGCAGCGACCTGGCCAACACGGTTAGTAACGAGCGAAAACTGACGTGCCGGTGGTCGGAGCCGCATAGAGTGCAGGACAAGCTGCTGCACTCAGTTCGGCTGGAATCGGTCGAGGGGACGCCCATAGACGGTGTCTTCAATGCTAGACGACTTCGACAATACGTCCCCAGAGCTGGGACACAGCTAGCAATAGCACAGGCCACACTCAAAAGTGCGCGGGCCGAATCAAGATCAAAACGCGAGATGGATGAGGCAACGGAGGTGGGCAGGCTGAGACAAGCCGAACTCGATGAGGTTGAGCGATGGCGTTTGCGTCAAGCAGAGAAAGACCTGGGCGACGTCGGAGGCGACGAGGGCGTCGCCATTTAAAATGGGGGCACATGGAGTAGGGGTCACGTGCCCCGGATCAGTCCATAGTTCACACGAGGATGTTCGTTGACAGGGAGAGGATTCCTTCTGCTTCCATCACGACGACCGGCCACTCCAATATTTACCTCCAGCTGCTGAGTGGATTCCATAAACTTGATCAGATTCACGCGATCGACGAGGGATTTGACAGCAGATGGAGATATGCATTGGTTATGGCTGAGCACGACTACAAAAATGACGAGATAGAGCTACTGTCTGGGCTCCAAGATTTACACACCGTAGACGGATATCTGGGAGGGGTTAACAATGGGCGAGGCATGGGTGTGTACCTCGCTTGGCTTCTCCCATTTCCCATGCGCTCGTTCATCCCGATAGACCCCCACCACCATCAAACCCTTCGAGCACTCCTGAACGACATTGAGCCCCAGGTTGATCCCGCAGAAGAAGAAGATGGCCCGGAAGAGTACTTTGCCTGGTTTTCGGATGAGGAGGAGGTCGCAGGAGGAGATGAATGGTAGCGCACAACGAGCCGAGTTAATGATCACTGTAAAGTCAGCCCCCGGGGTCTCACCGAATATGTCGGATCATCAATCAATCATAAGGACATGACGTCTGTCACTCGGTTAAAAAGCGCGATGCTCCGAGCCTCCATAGTTTAGCCCTGAAAGTTGTGTGAGGTTCGTGCCTTGTGAGATTGTGGACGGTGCAGAGTATGAGCTGATCTGAGAAGATATGATACGCGCGCGCGCTTAAATGGCCTTTTCGTCCGTTATGCAAGTTATTACATAGCTTGAGCTTTGACTGGCTTAGAGATAGCTGTGATAGTCACGTGCGATTCATGTGAATGTTCAAGTTGAACTACAATTCTAAATGAACCATCAAAGTGCAGGAGTTCAGCTCATCTCGGACTGAAATCAAACATCTTCCGAGGAATGCCTCTGCTCGTCTTCTCCATCCAACAACCCCTGTGCTTCCTGACCGGAAACCTCCGGGACTTTCCTTACGGACGGTGCGCGTCTTTTTCCGATGAATAGCCGACCACCCGGCGCGTCCTGGACCGCGCGCAGAATCACATGGTGCTCAAAAAGCTCTCCGATTTCTTCCAGCCCAAATCCGGCCGTTTCGGGTAGACAGAGCCACGCCCAGAATGATATGACAAAGCAGCAGGATCCGAACAAGAGGAATGTCCCATACCCTATTTCGGCAAGCATGAGGGGTGTGAGTTTGGCGACGACGGTGGCAAACGTCCTGGTCTCTAGTATAAGAAAAATTCTTTTCCATGCATGCTTCTCTCACCAATTCACACCCGCAGCCAACGACATGACGGCCGTCCGCAAATGATTTGGCGCAACCTCGCCAGCGAGGACCCACGGAATAGGTCCCCATCCAACACTAAAGAATGCAGCGTACAGGTAAACTGCCGCAATGGAGATGTAGCCCAGGAAATTGTGCGGCTTTGTCCCCGGGTGAAGCCCGGTGTAGATCCCGATCCACAACATGGCGATACACTGCCCGAGACCGCCGTAGATCAGGCTCATCTTACGGCCAATTCCTTCTACGGCGAGAGCCAGACCGACACAAACCGAAATGACCTGTAGAAAGGGGGATGGAACCCGTGCATACAAGAAAGACAACGCAGAAGTTCACCTTCACGATGCCGTAAATACCTACCAACGTTTTGTGAGAAGCTAGTAGCACCGCAGAGTGACTCACCGGTCGCGAACAGTCCAGACTTCGTCTCCCCAATTCCTAGGCTGGCAAAAATCATCGGACTGAAGTAATTGATCGCGTTTGTGCCAGTCAGTTGTTGAAAAAGCATGACTAGCGACGGAGTAAAACATCTCAGCGCGATCCCGCGGGTCTCGTTCATCTGCTGGAGCTGCTTCATGAGCGGTAAACGGCGTTTGCCGAGGAAATCAGCTTTGACTTCGTCAACCGTAGCGAGAATCAAGGGATCTTCTGCCGTTGCATGAGACAGGTAAGCCAGAATCTCGGCCGCACGATCGTATCGTTCTGTTTCAATCATGAAGCGAGGCGACTCGGGTTGCCAAGGGAGGCACAGAAGAAAGATCAATGCGGGGACGATCCTACGCGACAAATTCAGTCAAAATTCAAGTCGCGCAATGTGAAACCGCATTTACTGGACCGCAAAAGGAATGCGCCATTGCGATTCCCCGTTGGGGAGATATCTCGCGCAAATGTAATTGACCCAGACTGGTAAGGGAGGCGGATTAGCTATCGATTAGGATGAGAGAGAAGAATCCCACATGAAAGCATGACGCCGATATTATTGGCGAGCTGGATGAATCCTGTGCAGCGACCACGTATAGTAGGGGGCGTGCACTCTGCAACATAAGCCGGTACCAAAGCAGATACCATGCCGACGCCGATGCCGCCGATGAATCTAGTCACATTCAGGTCTTTGAACACTACGACATGGTGTGAGTATGGCACACCTGCCGATATACAAAAGTTCAAGCGCATGCCGTTGGGTGTTTCCCCAGCCGACGACAACCTGAAGCGCACTTCCCAGAACGAAGATCAAACCTGAAGCTTGAAGACAAGGCTTGCGTCCGAATCTCCCAGAAAAGTAGCCCACACCGAGAGCACCGACTCTGAAAGAAATGCGCAAGTCAGTAGATTCGCTATCAGGAGCAACCAACAAGTAACTGGTATTCACAGACAGCCGATTTGCAGACTGATAACGATGTTTCCATCGATAGAGGCCTTCTTAGACGGTGTCGCGTCTTGCAGACCAATATATTCCTGGAACGATCTCATAGCCAAAACGCCGCCGATCAATCCACTGAATAGCGAGCCGAAGTCAGTTCAATGGGGCTAATGCGGGTGATGAAACAAACATGTCAAAGCCATAAAATAGACTTCCCAATGAAGCGGAAAGAGCGAGAGCGTAGGCGCGCTTGTGGACCGCCGCACCTGTGGAAGGAGACATGGCAGATGCCCCGACAGAGGTGAGATAAGGTAGTAAGCAGATAGAGTAGTCGATTGAAACGAGAGCGAAAGAGATATGCAGCGGAGGCTGAGTAATGTAGAGTAGGAGAGAGTATTGGGACCGTCCGCGGAGGCAAGGTGCACAAGCGCTTGCCAGCAGGTTGGTGTGAGTCCAAGGTGCGGCTACCGCGTCGGAGATCTGATCCGAAGGCAGTGCCAGACATCAGCTACTTCGGCTCGAATGTACATAGCTAGTGGACGGAACTTACTCTGCTTGGAAGCCGTGATTGAAAGAATGGCTCCACGCACATAAAGGCATTGAAGTGCGCGAGAGGTGGCAAAAAGATTTACACGATCCAATCTGAGCTAGGATATCGGAATGGGATGCCAGCCGAAAGATCAGCCCGTCAGATCAAGTGAGAGGTGATGAAAGGAGAGCAACATTTTCGCAACTGTACAAATCCAGATATCCTTGCCATGGGAGCCTGAGGCAAAGGTTCATGGCACTGCAGGGAGGCATCCAGAAGATCTGAGGTGTGAAAAGCCAGCTCTCTCAATCGCATTCGGGCACAATTGGATAAGATCGACAACCACCTTAACTTATAAGTGACTTTAGACGGTAATTGGCCGTAGAAAATCTAATACATACGATGGGAAAGCAAAAAAAAAATCGAAAAATCTTCAGACTGCATTAGGGGTCAGGGGCCAACGACCGCACTTGGAAAATCTGCGCCGACGAGCCGTCGAGCTAGGGGGGCGGACAACTGACTCGAGATCAATGCGACTGGAATGAGAAACGTGAAAAATTCATTATGATTGTATCTGCGTGAGATTAAGAGCTAGAGTATCGTATTAACCAGATCCACCGTCATCCACGATCTACAGGCACTGGGAGTAGTCTGCGAAACGAGTCAGGGAACAGTAGACGGAAACTAGCAGAAGCGAAAAAACGCACAGGGGTTGTTGTAGACGCAGGTGGAGCCGGCAACACAGCTGCCAGAAACTGGGGAGAATGAATCAGAATGCGAACGCAGCATCGATACCAGCGACTGCGACGCACCAGAGTTGCCGCACTGGCCGTACTTGGGGATCGACCCACCGGTCGACGCCGAGCCGGAGCTGGTCGTCGACGTCGTAGCAGCGTGGGTGGTGGTAGTGGTAGTGACGGGAGGGGACCCGGAGCCAGAGCTGCCTCCAGACGTGGCCGCTTTGAACGTCGAGCCGATCGGGCCGGTCCGGATGTCCGAGTAAGTGACCTGCGCGTTGCCCTGCTGGGACTGGACGGTCTGGAGAACAACAACAACAACAACAGCAGCGGATTATTATCGGGTCAGGTGTGAGCAGACGCCGGTCTCGTACCTTGGGGTCACCGGAGGTCGCCGAGCACGGTCCACGCGCAACACCGGGAGCCGTCGCGCTCTTCGTGGTCGGGTACTGCTGTCCGTCGAGCCAGAGCATGCTCGCAGAGTCGTCGTCCCAGAGCGAGAGCGCCAAAACCATGCCGCGCTTCAGCGAGCCGCTCATCGTCGACAGACCGCCGTGAGCCGCGAAGCCGTTCGTGTCGCCGGTGATGTTCTTCTGCGCGCTGCAGAACGAATCGGTGACGGAGTTGAACTGGGTGAGGCCAGGGGTCTTGGCTGGCGCGTTCTGAATGACCTTCCCGTCCTGGACGTACAGCCGGCGGATCTCGGAAAGCGTCCCGGTGGTGGTGTTGTCGTTGGTGAGGAACTGGGTCACGACCGTGACCGGCTTCGTGGTGTCGACCTTGAGGCCGGGTCCGAAGAAGCTGCTGTCGCCCCAGCGGTAGGTGTTGTAGTCGCAGCCGTCCTTGTCGCAGAGAGCCTTGTAGCGGTCGCTGCCGACACCGCAGTCGGTGCCCGTGCACATCGTCTGGCCGCTGACAGAGCACGAGTGAGGCGTGAACGCCGTGTCGAACTTGTTGGCTGGGGAAGAGCGATTCAGATTGGAGAGCGACCGGCGGGGCTCAATCACGTACCCTCCCAGATGTCCATCTCGTTGCAGCACGTTCCCATCGAGCCAGTGCCGGTGTTGGGGTCGTTCGCCGACGGTGTCCAGTTGGCAGAGTTGGCCTGTGATAACATTCATGAGAAAACAAATTCCCCGTCGCCTTCGACTCGACGCACCAATCCGTTGATGAACTTGAGATCCTGAGGGCACTGCGCGTCGCAGTAGCCGGTACCGTACTGGGCACCAGCCTTGTTGTTCGGGAAACGGGCCATTCCACCGTCGGCGTCCATCTCGGTCAGGTACAGCGCGCCGTTGAGACCACATCCCAGCTGGGACACATCGACCGTGAACGTGAACTCCTGGTTCAGCAGCTGGAACATCTCGTAGTGGGTGTTGTCCGCCATCAGGTACACCCGGCTGCCGACGTTGGAGCCTTGCCCAATCGTCAGCAACACTCGCAAGTGCAAGTATCCGCGGAAAGACCTACCAGTGAGGAACTTGAGCGTCGCAGCGTTGCCGGACGTGGTGATTCCGTAGGTGCCCTGGTAGTTCGCGCCGTCGAGCGCACAGTTCTTCGCGCAGGTCGTCGCGTCAGGGC